GGGGGGGGGGGCAAATAAACCAATCAGATTTCTTTACTGTGTAATTCGGCCCAGTAAGGTTATTTTTGGTCGGAGTTTCGACCAATAGGGTTTTTTGACATTGCGGTTTCAACCAATGAGATTTCAGAGAGGGGGCACATCAGCCAATCAGATTTCTTTGGTCCACACTTTGGCCCAATAAAGTTACTTTTGGTCGGAATTTCGACCAATAAGGTTTTTTGACATTGCGGTTTCAACCAATGGGATTTCAGGCAGGGAGGCAAATCAGCCAATCAGATTTCTTTAGCCTATAATTTGGCCCAGTAAGGTTATTTTTGGTCGAGATTTCGTCCAATAAGGTTTCTTGACATGACGGTTTCAACCAATGGAATTTGGGGGGAGGGCACATCAGCCAATCAGATTTCTTTGGCCCACACTTTGGCCCAATAAGGTTACTTTTCGTTGGAATTTCGACCAATAGGGTTTTTTGACATTGTGGTTTCAACCAATGGGATTTTAGAGGGGGGGACAAATCAGCCAATCAGATTTCTTTTTTATTTGTTATCAGGTATTATGGTTTACGTTTGTTCCCCTTTCTGAAAGAAAGGGTTATACGGCGGTAAATATCCTTAAAGTTTGTCTGTCCGTCTCTCCGCCTGTCTGTCCTAACCAATCAGAAAATAGAGATGCGCATATCAACTAGACTAGTGCTTCACAAATCTTAAAAAACCTTTGCCATGAGTTTTTTGGGTCAAGGAATTGAACGTTGACATTAGTTTTTGAAAATTTTTTCAAATAGATGTTTTTTACGAAAAGAGAGGTTTTTTAGCAAAAAAAATGTCTTTTTTATAAAGTTTGATCAAACGTTTTCGAGGTCGAGGAATCGATTGGTAGTATTAGTTTTGAAAATTGTTTGAAATCATTTTTTTTGGTAAAAAACGACGTTTTTTTCATAAAGTTTGAACAAACGTCTTCGAGGTCGACGAATCTGAATCCGTGATTAGTTTTTGAGACTGACCTTTTTAGACAAGGAAAAAGTTGTTTACGAAAAAAACTGTTTCCTATATGGTTTGGCCAAAGACTTCAGAGATTGAGAAATTTGAATCCGTCACGAGTTTTGGTAAAAGTTTTTGAAATGAGTTTTTGGCTGCGGAAGGTTTTTTAAAGAAAATAATGGTTTTTTTCTTAGATTGAAGGGGAGAGATGATATAACATAAAATAAGTTTGCAGTTCTACATGTGTGGCTGATTCTAAAGTCTGTCTGTATGTTTGTGCACCCTAGCCAATGGGAAGACGGTGTTGGCTAGATTGATATCAAAAGCTTCTGATAGTCTATAAAAAGCTCTACGAAAAGTAATCGAAGGAAAATATATCGAATCTGAATCAAATGTGATTTTAAAAAGAAGTTAATAAACAATTAGGAATTAGTTTTATACTTTTCTTAATAAGTTTAATCCAAGATAATCGAAGATTGATAAGTCAAAACTCGGTTGTTTTTTTCAAATAAGTAATAATCAGTAATATAAACCGTCTCCAGTAAAACTCTACTAAAGAGAATCGGCTATGAGGAATGCAAATCTGAGGCCAGCTTTCCAATATTGACAGTTATTAATTAATGATAAATTAATGTATCATTGTTTTCTATAAAGCTTGGCTGATCATTATCGAGCATGAAAAATGCGAATTCGAAGTTAATCGAAGCCTTTTTTGACCTTTTTAAAGCTTCTTTCGATGAATTTCTTGTTATTTTAAGCTTGACTTAAGGATAGCCGAGGGTCACGAATCCATGCTCGAGATTGCTTTTAATAAAAGTTTTTTTCCTTGTTGATTACAAAACGCCAGGTCTTTCGGTAAGATTTATACATAGATATGTAGAAAATGAAGTGGTCACTTGAAGTCCAGTTATTGACTCTGCGTAGGCATCAAATGTAAAATAACATTTAAAACAGACGAAAATCTTTTCTAACACAATGTAATGTACTCTATTTGTAGCAATTTATAAATAGTTCTCTTTTTTTTAGTTTCTTCTTGATGAGGGTATTAACATATGCTCAGTAAATTTTCGAAAGGAATTCAAACGAGATGCATCTATTCGCTTCAAACCTGAAGTAATATTGAACAATTTAATGGCGTTAAATGTGGGCACGGCTAGTCGTGAGTGGCCGACCGGAGGGAGGCCGACGAACGACTAGACGTTGACTAAGAAGGTTATTTTAGAGCATAATTTTGAAATGAATCTGAAGCGGTTTAGGGAGATTCTCAGAAGAACTTAACTAATGCTGGTTTGAAAACAAATTCGGCAACATATCATTTTGTTAAAAAAAAAAGAAATTGAAAACTATGACGAAAAGTACACAACATTATTTAAATGTTGGAAATTTTTGATTACATATCGATACGTCATGAGTGAACTATTTTTTCTGCGCATCCAAGTACTAATGTGACAAATGGTAGGCAGAAAAATAAACCATATATGGAAACGGCTAGTCGTGAGTGGCCGACCGGAGGGAGGCCGACGAACGACTAGACGTTGATTTAGAAGGCTTATCGTAACTATAATAAGTGAAAGCTGAGGCACCTTCATAAATTGTGAAATGATCTGATTCTTGAACCAAAATAATTCCTTATTAGACATTTGACGTAATATAGTCTCTCCAGTAAAGGATTTGTGAATGCTAGCAGGGCGTTATTTGCTTGTTGTGTCGTAAGCAAAAATAGATGTAGTTGCGCCGTCCTAAAGGTTTTAAGAAGCTGTGTGGAATACTATAATTTTGAAAAAAATATTTTTTTTTTCAAGTTATTCTGATTTAGGGTGATCGCCACTTGGTTATGCTACTGAACTCGCTGAACAAACAGAAACAACTTAACAACATCTAATTTCGTTTTCTTAAAGAAACAGTCGTATAGCAATACATATTCCACTTAAAAAGCCATAAATGTTTGTCTCTCCGTTTTATTCAGGAAAGTCAGAGTTCAGGACAAGAAAATATGACATCCCAAACAACTGAATATGATCATATATCTGTATTAAGCTTGATTAGACTTAGTCAAGGATAAGCAACTGAAATTCGAGGTCTGCTTCTGATGATGGTACAACATTTAAATGTCTAGCGAATTATTTAAGGGTGCTCGCTCTAGAGAAATCTAGTGTTGAAAGGCGGCTAATATTTTTCAAAACATCTGTTTTTTGATTCTTCAACTATATTAAGGTTCCTCTACCCAGATTATTTTCAAAATGATAGAATTCGAGAATGTTATTTATCACAACTGGTTTAAACTCTTTAAATTTGATGAGTTTTTTCAAAAAAACAAGTAACGCGACGCAAACGTCGCTAACCCTCTACCGAAAGGATGTGGTTTCCTTGAACATATGGCACTGACGAAGAAGAAGACCACAGAACTAGTGTGCTGCTGTGCATCTATAAAAAGATAAATAGTTCTCGTCACCGTGGCCCGCTTGCTAATTGATTGGATTTGATTTAACCATCGTGGGGTGTGAATGTGAAGTGTGGGTGTGGAGTGTGGGGTGTGGAGTGTGGGGTGTGGAGTGTGGGGTGTGGATGTAGAGTGTGGGTGCGGGGTGTGGGGTGTGGGTGTGGGCGTATGTCTTCACTTCATCCATACTCAGACATATCCCACACCCACCCACCCACCCACCCATACCCCACGATGGTTAAATCAAATCCAATCAATTAGCAAGCGAGCCATGGTGACGAGAACTATTTATCTTTTTATGG